CGGCTGCTATGGAGATGAGATGGGAAATGACGGCGGCTAGGGTGGAAGATGGTTCTGATTCTTCGTTTCATGAGTGGTGCTCTCTCTATTGACAATTATTCGTTGACCCCTTAGAAGTTGGTCAGGTGGACCTGCTGGAGGCAGCGGCAGACGGTATGAGCGCAGGTACGAGTGCCGAGCGCCCGCCTTGCGCTCTTTTGACTTGTGTGCACCTTCAATTGCCTTCTCTCTTCCACCAAACTTCATGTTTTCTTGTGTGTGATGATTTCCTTCCATGTCTGGGCCCTTTTTCTCATGAAAACACATTAAACAAAGGATTTCATGATCTCTCGCATCCATTAGTCATTAGTGACAATTTAAAATTGATTTTTTGAGAAAATCTGCGATTATCCGGTTTAAACAACGGTGTGATAAGTGCAAAAATATTAGCCCAGACAACTGTTGCGACCCCCACCGATGTCTTGGAAGCTTGGAATGTCGTTGCTGATTCCGGCCGTTTTCCCATCCCCTCAATTGCCTGAGATGGTAGCTGCCGCACCACCGTCGACTGACGAGGTCGATTAACGACCAAGCGACCTCCAGTCGAGTGACCCAACTATACGGAACCATTGGTCCCGTTCGATGCTCTCAGCGCTCGGGCAGCGCACTGCCACTGGAGTTGGCCGCACCCTCGGCTCCTGCTACCTTATGACTCCTATCCTAGGTGGCCCGACGAATGTCTTGACCCTAGCGAACTCTGCTAGCCGAAATTGTTCTCGGCTCCTACGACCGTCAGATTCGCCTCCCGACCTTTCTATTGTTGGACCTCATGTTTCAACTGCTTCTCAATTTTTTAGGCACCACTTTTACATAATCTGTTGGAGCAACAACAACCATGGTGTGCAAAACTCTTCTCCCTACTACCCTTTAATTGTTTTTACATCAGGTTTTACATCATCTGTTGGAGTTACATCTGTTGGAGTTATTCTAACTACTCCCTACCTTCCTAAGCCCATGTAGGCGGGAGTGGCACGCGACGCCGTTTAGGCCGAACTGAATAGCATAGGAACAAATGAGATACAGCCTTTCATCAAAGCTTACGCATGCTCTCCCCCGCCGCCGCCGTTGTAGCCGCCGTCCGCGCTGCGGGGGGGTCACCGACGGCCGTACGCCGCGCCCACGCGCGTCTCCTCAAGGATGGCCTGGCGCTGCACCCTCCCGCGCCGTCCCTTCTCGTCTCCGCCTACGCCAAGTGCCGCCTCCTCCCCGACGCCCGCAGGGTGTTCGACGAAAGCCCGCGCCGGGACCTCCACCTCTACTCGTCACTCCTCGCCGCCGTCTCCAACTCCGACGCTCCTTACCTCGTGCTCCCGATCATACGTCGCATGCTCTCTGCTGACGCCCTCCAGCCGGACCACTTCGTCCTGGCCTCCATCGCTAGCGCCTCCGCCAGGTTGCGAAGCCTCAGTCTTGGTAAGCAGCTCCATGGACACTTCGTTGCTTCCCCGTATAGCGGAGATGATGTCGTCAAGTCTTCTCTGATCGATATGTACTGTAAATGTGGCTTTCCGGATGATGCCAGGAAGGTGTTTGATGGTATGAGTCCCAAGAACAGCGTCGTGTGGACTGCGCTTGTTTCTGGGTACGCGTCGAACGGCTATACTGACGAGGCACTGGAGCTCTTCCGGAGCATGCCTGGACGCGGCCTCTTTGCATGGACTGCACTCGTATCAGGATTTGTAAGAGCTGGCGAGAGTGTTAGCGCATTGGAGCTGTTTCTTGAGATGAGGCGGGATGCCGTTACTATTGATGACGCATTTGTGTTGTCATCTGTAACTGGTGGGGCTGCAGACCTGGCTGCGCTTGTTCTGGGTAGGCAGTTGCATGGTTTGTCCATGAGGCTTGGGTTCTTGTCCAGCATGATGGTTGGGAATGCATTGGTTGACATGTACTCCAAATGTAGCGACATACACTCCGCTAGAGAAGTATTTGAAGAGATTACAGTGCGTGACATCATCTCGTGGACGACAATGATTGTTGGAGAGGCCCAGCATGGTCGAGCAGGGGAGGCTTTTGGTCTTTATGACCGGATGATTCTTGCAGGAGTGAAGCCCAATGAGGTGACATTTGTTGGGTTGATCTATGCATGTAGCCACGCTGGTCTTGTTCAGAAAGGTCGGCAACTGTTTGACTCAGTGAAGCGGGAGTATGACATCAACCCTGGATTACAACTCTATACATGCTACCTAGATCTTCTTAGTCGTTCGGGCCATTTATCAGAAGCTGAAGAACTCATCACTACGATGCCATATGAGCCTGATGAAGCTGCTTGGGGGGCCCTCTTGAGCGCATGCAAGAAACACAACAATGCTGAAATGTGTGTCAGGGTTGCTGATAATCTGTTAGAGCTGGGACCAAAATATCCTTCAACATGTGTCTTGTTATCTAATGTCTATGCAGTGAATGGCAAATGGGGGTCTGTGAGCACGGTGAGAAAGCTCATGGCTAATATGAAGATAAATAAAGAGCCTGGGTATAGCTGGGTTGAAGTTGGAAGAGAATCTCGTCTGTTTCATGCTGGGGAAGTTCCGGTTGATATGAGAGAAGAAATTCTAGTTTTTCTCGAGGAATTAGTCTCGGAGATGCGCCGGAGGGGCTATGTCCCTGATACCAGTTCTGTGATGCATGATCTGGAGGAGCATGAAAAGGAGCACCATCTGTTCTTGCATAGTGAGAGGCTGGCTGTTGCTTTTGGAATCCTCAAGTCTCTTCCGGGGTCGGTGATCCGGGTGGTGAAGAACCTCCGTGTCTGTGGGGACTGCCATGTAGTGATGAAGTTAATTAGTGAAATTTTCCAGAGGAAGATTATTGTGAGAGACGCTACTCGTTTCCACCATTTTGAAGGTGGGAAGTGCTCTTGTGGTGAATTCTGGTAGCAGAACTGATCTGCTGATGTTCAGTTGTGCCTCTAGTCCTCTAGGTATGGTCTAATATCTTAACTTTCCCATGTCTAGAGAGATCGGTACGAAATGGATGACCTTTTTTCTGTATGACTGAATTGATGTTTCAGTCTTAGAGAAGACAAAACCGTATATGGGCCAACCAACAAGCGCGACTAATAGAAACTAGAACTGTCCATTTGTTGTATCCTATTGTTCCTAGCTTTATGTACATCCTGGTAACAGATAGTCCTTTGGAGTAGCCTGGGGAAACTATAGGGTCATGTTGCTACATTTTTTTCCTAAAAAATCTAAACATTTTTGTCAGTGAATTCAAAGGTTATGTTATCGGTGAATTCAAAGGTTATGTTGTCGGTGAATAATGTGTTTTTTTATCCTTCGTACTTTTCTGATCTGCTATTATGCAACCCAGCTCTCCGATACTGTTGATATAATACTACTCGTAGGGCTTGGTGAAAGATTAGACTGAAGTAGCTAAGATTGAGAATTCCAAAGTAGATCTGTTGACTCAGGTACTCCAATTTTTTCTTTTCTTTTTAGAAAAGATAAACCCCGGCGTCTGCATCTTGAGATGAACCCAGCCAAATTTTATTAAGGTTGTAGTATCAAGCTCCAGTTCTGAAGTACAAAAAAACAAGCCACAACCGGCAAAAATAGGAATATATGCCTACACATAGCCTACTATTGAACCGTCACCCAAACCGGTTGTACGTATCCCTTGCTACCATCTTCCATTGGTTGCACTGTGTATTAATCCATTGACACAAAGTTAGACACAATGGATCCGACTAGCTTATAAAAGTTGGAGATGTAGGATTTAAGGTTGTCTTGACCAACAATGGTGCCCTCATCTTGTTCAAGCTGAACAATTTTTCTTCTTTTTATGCTTCCCGTTTGTAATTAAATGGAAAAACTGGGTGTTACTATCACCTTCCCGCATGTCCCTCACTTTGGTACTTTGACTCAGGTACTCCAGTGGGTTGGCTAAACTTGTTTCTTTACTTTATTACATGCCTACATAACAATTTTGATGCCACCCCAGTAGAAGAGTTTTATGTTTGTGGACAACATAGTATACCATTTATTTTCCAACAGCTGTGATTCTGAGATCTTGTGCCGCCAAATGACTACTGAAAACACTTGAACTATTAGAGAATAGAAGGATACCAAAACTTTCAACATGTTTGCGTTGATGATTGCCGGTGCCGAGATTATTAGTGCATCCAGCTCTGTCAGCCAGTTTTATGTGATAATCAGTAAACACAAAGCAGCAAGTTACTGTATTTACTTCAGTACATAATTTTGTGACGAAAAGGAGGGCTGGAGCAAGTCATGAACATCGGGCAGCTTTAATTGCAGATGGGAGGGCAAGAGAAAGGGGGGGAATTCATTACGGTCTCACCTTCCATGAAAAAAGGTAAAACGCTGCTTTTGATAAGGTAAAAAAAGAGTGGAAGAGACGAATTGTCTAGTGGAGGCCCATGTGGTAAACTTTAATTAACCCCATGCACATGGCCACCCTCTTGTTTCACGCAACCCAACCCTGCTTTACTTGTTGCCATCCTATAGAACCATGGATGGACCACGCCTTAAATATTTCTGTCAAGCAGCGCTTAACAACTCTCTGACCATGATGCCAAGCCAACAGTTACCTCTAATGACTTAACCTACAGCTTCACAAGAGGACATGGGGTGTGCACTGCAGCACCGGTAACAGTTCACCAGAAAGTTTCAGTTTTCTAAGCATTAATTAACTGTTGCAGTTACCTTTACGTCCATCAGTTTCAGATTAAATATTTGCGGCATACGCGTTCTACATGGTGAGCCCTACTCCTCCTCCCTCTCTGGCCTCCTTTTCCTCTTTGTGTCAATTCACAAATCCATTTGATAGACAAGCACACAACCTTTGCTTTCCCTGTGCAGGTTTGTTATTGAAAAGGAAGCAGCAGCAATTCCTTGTTCCATGCTGTGCCTCATCATGGCTTCTTTCTTCTTTAGCATCGCTGCATCATTTGGGCCACTAAAGCCCTTCTTGCCCTTGTGATTGTGAGCAAGTTCTTGATGCTTCCCAGATCCCAAATGGCCATACAACTCACGCTTCTACTCATTTCGTGTAGCCTTTACAGTATGTATTCCTCTTCTTCTTTCTCCACGTCCTCCTCTCTTGCATTGCTGGTGCTGGTTATCTCCACCTGCCTCTCCTTGCTCTTCTCAAACCTCAGACAACTGGTGAGAACCAGCAGCCACAAAGCTTCCATGGAGGTGGTTGCTCATCAGGAGAAGAGCACTGTGCCACAAGATGAGGTGTCCGAGGATGCGCTGGAGGATTCGGCTGGAAGCCTGTCGGGGTCTTCAGATTGCCAGGTCAGCGAAGAGGGGACTGATGAAGTCTCGGTGTCTGATGACGACGACGATGAGAGTCTTATTGAGATCTCCCTTGTTGATGGGTACTATGTGGGGCAAGAGGAGCAATGTCTCTGGAAGAAGGAGCAAGACCTCCTCGCCGACTTCCTGCCGGAGTTCGCTCTTGACAGGAGGGACTTCATAGACATCTTGTCGGAGATCAGTGAGGAGGAAAACATGATTGAGATTGACATTGCAAGGGGCTCCATCAAGTGCGCAAACTTCAGCATCAAAGCATGAGCTTTGCAGAGGTTTGGTCTATGAATTGCTCCGGAGCTTTCGTCAGGGCAAGGGAGTAGTAGTAGGTTGTACTACTGGAATACATGTGGTTTATTGCCTTGCCTTTTTTTCACAAAGAGCTCAGTTTTCATTAGTGATTCTTCAGTGGAAGCCTTGCTGCATCTCTTTTCTTGTGCTTTCTGAATGTTACTAGAGAAGGAATAAAGCGCGTGCACATATTTGGCTCGAAGAGATTTAAGGAAATCATATGTGTTTGCTTGGCCCTTCTTTTCATACCTAGTGTTTTAGACTTGAGTAGATGCTAATAGTTATGTCAGGGCTAGCTATATCAATCTCAAGGTGGGGTATACTTAAGTTACTTTATACAGGTTAGTGCACTAATACAGAACTGCATTGCAATTAAAAAACTGAATATGATTTGTAAGCTACTTGATGTGGTTTTAGAAATTAAGCTCAACCTTTTGTCATTCTCAATGAAAAACTGGACATTCATCCAATCAAAGGTAGCGGCATATGGTTCAACAATGTAGAATAATCGGTCTTTTAGTTTGTGCAGCTGGGTGCTTTTAGCGCTGATGTTTGATATGGAAAAAGGTTATGAGATCTTAATGATTTGCACAGTAGCTTCTAGTGCTGTCCATAACAAATGTAGTTTTGGGGATCCCTTGTTTATTGGAAGATACTGATAAGATATAGGAAAACATTTCAGCGTACTACTGTTTTAGAGGTTTAGGGCATGTACAATGGTTGATAAGATAGTCTTATTTTAAGTTTTGCATGTAATTTAGAGACGACAAAGAAAAATGTCTACAATGGATCATCTCTTAGCCTTATCTTCAATAACTAGCAATTCCTAAAAATGTGGTGAGACATATTGTGCTAAGAGATCATCTCTTGTCTTATCTTAAATAAGAGAAGACAAGCCTTCTCTTATGAGTTCTCTCTCCTCCCCCTCATCATTTATCCTACGTGGCACCCCTAAGATAGCACCATTGTACATGCCCTTAGGTAGCTGAACAAAAGATACACAGGAATGCTTGTTTTAACTCCACCTTGGATTCTTTCTCCTTGTTTTAAGTACAAAAATTGAAGATAATGAGTGTGAGCATTTGTAATCTGACATGCTGACACTTGACACATGCACATGCCTCCATTCACTGTTGGAAATAGGCAAAAAAAAGCGGGAAACAGGGAGGTTTACTATTGTAAGATAATGTCTTTACAATCAAAATTGAGCAACTCAGCAACAAACAAAGGGGCCTCTAGGAGCCAAACATTGGCCGTTACACCCCTCCTAGCAGCTTGAGCAGGTTCATGAGCTACTCTGTTGCCTCCCCTGTTCACAAAACTGCACCGAAATTCAGGAAGCTCTGCCACAACATCTCTAATACCTTCCAATTGTGGCTGCCCAATCCATCAATCAGAACTTCACAGTCTGACTCCAGGATTGTTCACAAAACAAACAGATTGTGTAACTGATGCCTCCCCCTTGCCCTGGACTCCATCATTCCTCAAATGCCATGAGCGCCAAAAAAGGACATTTGCTCGGTTATCAACATTTACTGAATTTAAGAGCACCTGGAGCCAAAAGAGGGCCCGAATACCTGAACTCCTCTGTGGGCAATTCCCACGCCTCCCTGATTGCTGCTCAGGAGGGGTGTATTTTTTGTTCAGTTACCTAAACCTCTAAAATAGTAGTGATTCTTCTGTGGAAGCCTTGCTGCATGTCTTTTCTTGTGCTTTCTGAATGTTGCTATAGAAGAAATAAAGTGCATGCACATATTTTGCTCGAAGATATTTAAGGAAATAATATGTGTGTGCATGGCCCTTCTTTACATACCTAGTGTTTTATACTTGAGTAGATGCTAATAATTATGTCAGGGCTAGCTATATCAATCTCAAGGTGGGGTATACTTAAGTTACTTTACAGGTTAGTGCACTAATACAGAACTTCATTGCAATTAAAAAACTGAGTACGGTTTGTAAGCTACTTGATGTGGTTTTAGAAATTAAGCTCAACCTTTTGTCATTCTGAATCAAAAGCTCGGCATTTATCCAATGAAAGGTAGTGGCATATGGTTCAACAATCTAGAATAATCGGTCTTTTAGTTTGTGCAGCTGGGTGCTTTTAGCGGCTGATGTTTGATTTGGAAAAAGGCTACGAGATCTTCATGATTTGCACCTCTATTAGTAGCTTCCTGTGTTGTCCATAACAAATGTAGTTTTGAGGATCCTTTGTTTTCTGGAAGATACTGAGAAGATATAGGAGAACATTTGAGTGTACTATTGTAACTGATGTTTAGGTAACTGAACGAAAAATACACAGGAATGCTTATTTTAACTCCCCTTTGGATTCTTTCTCCTTGTTTTAAGTACAAAAATCGAAGATAATGAGTGTGAACATTTGTAATCTGACATGCTGACACTTGGCACTTATAAGTGTGCACATGCCTCCATTCACTGTTGGAAATAGGCAATTTCATGATTAACTAGCGGCTAACGCTCGCCTTTTTTTTGTGAGGGGCGATTTAAAAAAAAATACACATCAAACTTTTTCTCACTTTTAAAAATGATTTTTTTCACTTGTATTCTGGATATTTGGTGCGCTGTTTTGGGGGGTTGTTTGTTTTCCTAGGGTTATTAGGCTCTGTGTGCTCGGGATGTGATTGGCCTTTTAGTTTGGTAGCGAATGAGAGATA